ACAACCGCCGGCCGCACCAGCGCCGGCTGCAGCAGCAGCAGCAGCTCTCGTCCTCAGCTCTTCTCCACTTGCTCCTGCCTCACTCACCTCTCCAGATGCTCCATCCTGCTGTGGTGTGGCTGAGTGTAGGAGAAAGGGAACCAGCCTTTCCTGTGAGGACAACAATTGTCTTTAGTCAAGACCGACCGCAGAGAACGGGTCAAGATATTCTTCAGTAAAAGTCAAATATCACAGAAGTCATTCATCATATGTTATATATTACACATCCACAGCAGAGATTCCCACACCAGCAGGTGTGGTGCATGTATCCCTGGGGCTGCCACTAGAGGGAGCATGAGATAAAAAAATATGATGGTGATTTGGAGTGGGGTTTTTTTTTCAAGTGGGATTTTTCCACACAATAAAGATGTGTAAACAAACTTTGTAAAATTTAAAATAAAAAGCTATATAAGATATATTAATGAATTATTATTTATTTAATTATTTGAACACATTTTTTTCACAATGGTGTGGGGTTTGTCAACCTGGTTGGACTATAGAAGGAAGTGTGCAAAGAAAGAAAATCTTTGCATGTCCTTTAACAATGAAGTGCTTCACAGTACAGTTGCAGATGCAGTACAGTACTGAAGAAAACATATCTACGTACCGTCCGGTTCGTTCATTTTGACCGTAGTGCCATCCGTCTCTCGGCTCAGAGATGAGCAGCAGGATGTTGTCACCGGGCAGGAAGTGCAGTAAACAGGCCCCGCCCACTGCTCCACCCTCCTCCGATGGCCCAGGACCGTGAGCAAACATGGCTTCTACACGTGAAGGTCCGGACAACGGCAGCGTCCTCGGCAGACTGGAGCCTGGAGAAAAGACAGGTGGAGGTTAGAAGAGGAACACAGACAGATATGAGAATGAAAATGTTAGCTGTTAGCTGTGAGCAGATGCCACTTCCTGCCTTGGAAACCCCCCAGCCTCATTTCACTGGCAGGTCGTCTGGGCAGTGGCAGCGTGGCTGTAGCAGATATCTCTCCGGCCTTCAGTCGACCAAAATGATGCAGCGGTAATGAAGTGTTGCTCCCCGCCGGCTCCACCTGTTGGTGCAACGGTGGCACAGGAGTCATGACCCTTGACAGTGGAGCACTATGAGGCAGTGGGGGGCTGTGGGGAGCGCTGTGGGGGGCACTGTGTGGGATGGCCACTGTCATGCCCTGCAAGGAGCTGCTGACCGGGGAGACCTGGGTGTGGGACATGACCGTGGAGGGGATGAGGCAGGGGGAGAGGTTGGCCGTGACGGTGGAGAGGGGGAGGGGGCTCTGCTGGGCCGCACCACCGGAGGGGGTGGCAGTGGATGCAGCAGGATTGGCACCGCTGCTGCTGCTGCTGCTGGCGCTGCTCTCCGGTTGGACGCTGGTCACAGGATTGACCAGCAGGCTGGAGTGCTGAGGAGAAGCTCCGCTCCTCTGGAAGGAACCTCCTGCTGTTCCCACAGCTGAAGACGCAGCAGAGAAAGTCTGAGGGGAACTATGAGGAGGAAAACTCTCGCTCTGTGAGGAGGAGGAGGAGGCAGGAGGACACTGCTGCTGCTGCTGCTGCTGCTGCTGCGAAGAGCTGGAGTCTCCGTTCACCAGTGGAGGAACCTCCTGAACAGAGAGCCTCTGGAAGGAGAGGGAACTTCAGTGAGATGTTGAGGAAGAACTAGAGCCAAGGCACAAATGTGACATTCGGAATTTTGCTGCTGGGATTTTCACTTTACAGGTTAAAATATTCATGAAAAAAAGTTTGAACTTTTACAATGAAACACAGGAAGTGTCTGCTTCAAGTCGAAAATGTAATTTCAAGGATGCAGTGGTTAAGATTTAAAGAGGATCAAATGAAGAACAAGGGTCAGTTTTGTCCTTGTAATAAAACCAACTCAACGGTCAGTTGTCTTTTTATCTTCAACTTCTTGTTAAACTTCTAAATCTCTTGTCTCAGTAACACTTTTTCCCAATTTTCTTTCCTGCCAGGCAAATAAAATTTCCGGTTTTACTGAATTATCATTTTGAATGGTCGACCAGGCTGCACTGGCCACAGGATAATAATACCCATAATGCAAGAATAAAATTTGATTTGACAAAATTCACTCGTTCAGGAACATGAAGTTTTCCCCAGTCAGCGTCACATGACTATGACATCACACACCTGTTCCGTCTGAGCACAGCTGAGCTTGGTGTGACGCAGGACCTCCGCAATCCCAGCAGCCCCCGGGCTTTGGGGCGCGGTGTGACGTAGCAGATTCAGCGCTCGCTCCGGGAGTTTTGTTGGCTGAGTGCAGGTCTGTTGCCAGGACGACAGCTTATGAGAAAGAAGCTCCCTCACCTGCGTGAGTGTGAAAAACAGGGAAGGATCAAAATGATTTATTAATTATCATCCTGGAGAAATGAGTCGGTGAATTTCTTTGTTAAAAGAACAAATCTTTCTAAACTTCAGTGAAGTCGTTGTCCTCAACAATATTTACAAACTGTCCGACCTTCCACGCAACGCGGCTGGTCACAAGTCGGACCGCTGACCTGAAGTTGAAGCTACAACAAAATCATGCTGGGACTTTAGATGATTGTTAAAAGAACAAATCTTTCTAAACTTCAGTGAAGTCGTTGTCCTCAACAATATTAACAAACTGAACAAAATCATGCTGGGACTTTAGATGATATCTGTAACTTCAGACTCTTCAGTGAAACTAAAACATGTGTAAATATCAAGTCCTCACGGGCGAAGCCAACATACTGTACGTGACCCTGTCACCTTGGAGTGGTAGTTGATGAGCAGTTTGGTGACACAACACTGTCTGTCCACCAGGAAGCAGTAGCGTCTCCTCTCCTCGGTGAGCGCTGACCTGTAGCCCGCAGCGACCAGCGTGTCCAGCTCGCCCTGACGTCGACTCATCAGCTCCACAAACTGCAGGGAAAGGCAGGAAATGTAAAACCATAAACATGAACGTCGTCACACGCACACGCAGCCGTCGCAATCGCACGCCGACCGGCGGGCAGGTGGAGAGCAGTGACCTTTTGTCCGCATTGTGAGGAGAAAGGAACGCCATCACATCCTGCCTGTGGCACGGCGATAAAAGAAGCCATCAAACCCCCGTCATGTGACCTTTGCTGATATTTGACCACCTGAGAGGACAAATCCTCTCACGCTCCGATATCATCCAGGCTTCCTCCGCTCAGACGCTGGTAACTGAGTCGCTTGTTTTCTTAATCGTGGACTGAGGCAGATTTTTCCTTAATCTTGTTCACGACAGGCTGAGCCTCGCACAAACACGCTCGCACTTTTTAAATCTCTTCTAAGCTGAAAAGGACGGTAAGAACTTTACGGAGGGATTTCTTCAATAAAAGACTCCTCTGTATATGGAGCTCTACTTCTTACACCGTCTGTACTTACACTACGTGTACTGTGTTACAGACACACACACACAGCTGTGTTTAACAACCAGGTGACACCTAACGATACTGTGATACAAACTGTAATTCCCCTGCCTGCCACTAGTGCAATGCAAAGTACCACCAGTAGCACACAAACCTAAGTTTGAGAACCCCCCCAATATAATTTTTTTTGTTCTGTTCCACACACCACCTGCCATGTGTCCTGTCGGTTGCTAGGTTACCTGCATCTCTCTGTCTCCATATTTGTTGGGGTGTCGGCTGCCCTGGCTCTTCCTCCGCAGTTTCTTGAGTTGGGACTGGCAGCGTTCGATGGACTCAGATTTGGACCTGCGCTCACTCTGGTACTTTTTCAAAGTAGCCTTAAAGAATAGAAAAAAAACACAGAGATGTTCCTATTAGATACGATGAAAATTAAATTATCTGTATGGATATATTAATATATTTACTTCATTTAAACTTAACCATAAATTTGAATTCACAATTTACAATTTCCCAGAACTGACACTTGAACGTACCGTGAGGTATTTAATGTCCAACTCCAGCTTCTGCTCCAGCTGAGCGAGCAGCTCCGAGTGAAACAGTTTCAGCTGCGAGTGTCGGACAAAAAAATGACAGAGGAGTTCATTTGATGAAAGACGGAACAGCGGAGAAAACAGACGTTCAAATCAAACCAATTATACTTCTGAGTCTAAATGGACACTTGATATGGAATCAGTCTGTTTCACTGCTTATCTTATATATATTTTAAAAACAAGTCAAAGCAGATGAGGTAAGTGTTTTACCCCCAGAGGCTTTATACTTTAGTTTGTCAATAATGTAAAATTTAAAATAAATTTTTAAAAAAGGTATACATTTTAACATATATACTGTACTGTATAAATGTATGCATAAATAGACATAAACATACATATATAAATATATAAAATTGCAACAATTTAACTATACAACTAAATAGATATACACAAATATAATCATATATGTAGATATATTGTGACCATTGCCATTTCTTTTCCTTAAAAAAATAAAAAAAAAAAATGTAAAAAACAATGGCGTCCGGTTCAGTGGTTCAGTGGAGTCTTACCACGTCCTCCAGCTGCACCTGGATCTGTCTGTGCACCTCGGCCATCTGAAACAGTGTGTCTCCTGTAAAAGAGCACAAACATCACGTGTGTGTGTGTCACTAACCTGGTTGATATGGACAGTGTACTCAACATGAGGGTCCTCTCTGCTAATCAGGGTCGACCTCATTATGTCCTGTTTTTTATTGCCTCACGTGTATGTGTGTATTTCAGTCCAGTTTACATCTATAGAAAAAAACTTTTTTTTCCCCTATCCTGTCACATAAACACACTTTATTCCACCGTGAACCGACAGACAACCGACAGACAGACTCTCCACCACGTCCCACAACCTGCTGCTGTGACACGGCTCCTCCCTGGTTCACATAGCGCTGTAGTATGCGGTGGTTGGCATCTCGCCCTCCGACACTCTCGCCTGCCTCCCCCGCTGTTTTCAGCATTACAATGAGATCATGTGGTGTTGTTAATCTCCCAACAATGACCCCACTCTCTCCCTGTCCCTCTGTTCCCTCTCACTACATTTCCTCATTCCCCCGGTTCTTCATCTTCTTCCGTGCTAACACACACACACACACAGCAGACGTAACTCCTCAGCCGCCGTCACACCGACCGCATTAACTTTATTAGCTCTATACCTAATTTATTTTTATGTTCTTCTCTAACCCTCCTCCCTCCTCTTCCTCCCCTCTTTTCTCTCTCTCGTCTCTCTCGCCCACTCACCCAGCTCTTTAGAGCCTTGGCTGTCACTTGCAAGTTCTCCCAGTTTCACCAGGGCATCGAAGTAGCCTTTGGCAGCGACGGTTACTCCTAATAAAGAGAAAGGAAGTTTGAAAAAAAAAAACCAACAATGAATCTGTAAAGAGACTAAAGATAAATCAGATAAATTCAATGAACTTTTTTTTTTGTCAATTATAATCAGAAATGTAACGCCGTTTTTTGACTGACCTGTCAGGGCTTTCTCGTAGTGTTTACCCATGACCACAAAGTTCTTCAGACTGGGGTTGAACTGGTCCAAAATCCCCTGGTGGTGAGAATGAGAATGAGCCCGGACGACATGAAATACTTTGTATTGAATATTTGAGGCTGTGTCTGTGAGGTTCACCTTGTAGACGTTTTCTGTCATCTTGTTGACCTCCTCGGTTCGAGACATTTTTTTCTTCTGGTTTAAGAACCCGACTCTCTGTACGGTACTGTGTTCTTCCTCCCTCGGTTCTCCAAGGTTCTAGACGGTAGAATTAGGAACAATACCCTAAAAGGAGAAAACAAGAAAATGAAAATATCTGAGCAGGTCAAGAGGGACATGTAAAAAGAATTTCAAGAATTTTTATTTTTGGCATGTGAGTAAGTTTTAGGTATTTTAACAACAATCTTAGAGATTCCCAAAGTTTGTTTTTTTTCTGCACCACCTCATTAGAACATCGACATGTTCACGGTCACTGGACTTTTAATATTTAAATTTAAAAGTAATTTTTAGGAAAAACTTGTATTCCTACAAAACTACGATTCTGATTAAACAGGGGAAAATACAGTGAAATTGACACCATGACCAGAGCTGCACGTCCCTCTAAAGGGACTCGCCCCTAACTTTGGGAACAAGTTTAGAAAATCCAAAAAATGTAGAAAAATATGTTGAGTTCATATTATATAGAGTCGACCGTGTTTTACTGAATTCATCTATGAAACAGTTGCCGTGCTGTTTTCATTTGATACTGAAATGTTTTTCTTTTCAACAGAGAAACAACTGAAGGACGACCTCGTCCAGGAAACTCCCCCGCGGGGAAAAAAATAAAAATTGTGATAAAGAAAGTTGTCACTGTGTTTTTAATAGTCTGAGCTGCAGGACGTCACAACAAACCAAATGTTTTTCCTGGATTCCTGAACCAGACGACGTCTACCACGTCAGATTAGAACAACACACCAGAGAAACCAGAGGAACCGCTGCGGCCCAGAGGAGTTCTAATCTGGGTTTGACACCCACTCAGACCCTCCTTTGTTAACACAGCGAGATTATAAACAAAACAGTGACCTAGATGGACTGATGGTCTGTGACATGTGAAAACATTTTCAGATTCCAGCTGATTAGAAGATAATGTTTACAGTAGGAGAGAGAGAGAAAGTTTTCCTGCAGACTGATTTTCTTATAAACTGATTCCAGGTCAGAGACTTGATCTCGACGCAGTGGAAGATAAAGTGCTGTTTGTTGGTTGGTTGGTTTGTTTGGGGAGGCGGTGGGAACGGTCTGCAGGTGGTGCTGGAGCAAACAGAACGTGCATTCATGTGGACGGGACTGTGGAGGAGAGCGGAACTGAAGCATCTCAGAGCAGGTCGATAAATTCATATCAGCAGGTGTCGATTCACTGGGCTGTTTTAGGGACAGAATCAGAGATACTTCACTGATCCATGGGGGTGGAGGGGGGTGAAGGGGAGGGGGGGGGTCTCAGTTATAACAGGAGAAAGAGCTGTACATATTTGAGCAAAACAAGATAAATAGAAATATTGACACTTATTAAAATAAAATTCAATAAATGACAAGTGTCAGTTTCAGCAGATTTACTGTTGGTTTTTAATGATTTAAATGTTGATATTTTAGTTCCGTCTGACTGTTCATATACAAACGTGAAAAGGCACTTAAAATATATATTTTATAGTACAAATATACATATATAGGGCCAAATATGCTGATTTTCACTTTTTCAATTTAAGTTTAAAGTCGGTCATGTGAACAAAGCAGATCATTTTCACGTGGACGTTTTTACTCTCCATCCTGACTTGACATTAATGACGTTGACATACTGAGAAATTTCAGTAGAATTGTCAATAATACTGTAATACTGTAGTGATGTCCAGACCCCCCCACGCCCCCACCCCCAGCTCACTAAATGACTGCAGCTGTAAAAAACAAACACCATCAGCTTTAACACGTTTCCACGGGACGTTTTTTCCCCACTCTGCTTTAAGAATAAACAGGTAAATGAGACATTTAAAAATAAATTATTGTTAAACTGAACTTTGTGCGTGTTTTTTTTCTCTTTTTTTTTCTTTAGCGTCTATGTCTAATATTTGAAACATTTGAGTTGAAACAACCACTGAACCTCTCTCTCTCTCCTTCTCTCGACACCGTTTGTCCCCGCGGTTCAGTCGGTCACCAACGACCTGTTGATCCGCGGCTCAAAACTCGACTTCCGTCGGTGCAGCGGGAACAGAACCCTCGTCACCGACGTGAGAAGACAGAAACAGTTTCATACCTTTTCTCTTGTCATCGCAGAGAGCGACAAAAATCCTGTCCTGTCCTTCCGCCTCCCCCTCTGTTCCTCCCATCAGACACCGCTCTCTCTCTCCGGTAGTTAGTCAGTTAGTGGGGGGTTGTTTCATCCTGCAGCCACTAAATCTCTGCTGCTGCCTCCTCCCGTCACGTGCTCTCCCTCTCTCTCTCTCTCTCTTTGTATGTGCATCCTCCCCTCTTCTGTCTCTCCCTCGGTCCCTCAATTTCTCCCCGTTTGCCCCCCTTCTGCCCCCCCTCTCTCTCGCACCCTCTTTTTCTCTCCGTCACCCCCGACCCCCACCCCCTCTTTGTTTCACCCTCTACGTCTCTATCTCTCAGTTGTCAGGCCCAGTGTTCTGGTACCGTCCAGTACTCCTCTTTGGTACTGAAACAGATTACCCACAAGCCTTCACTCCGGCGGGACAACATGGACCGTAACAAACACGAACACAGACCGACCAATGTGTCTCTGCTACTACTGCAGTACTACTGCAGTACTACTGCAGTTCTACTACTGCAGTTCTATCCCAGTCTCCACCATTCAGAGTCTGCCTCTCTCTGTCTCTCTCTCTCT